ATATGTACAACAAACTCCAGTAACCAGCATATAAACAATATTATTATTATTATTATTATTATTATTATTATTATTATTATTTTCTGACTGAGCCCAAGGCATGCACCTGAGGGCTGTTTGCAGGCTGCTGGAGCACGTTGTCCCCAGGGAGGGACAGGCTGCAGGAGGGATTTTGGCTGATGCTGGCATGCTCCAAGCTGCCACCGCCCGTGCGGGGGGCTCAGTGGGAGCAGCCATCCAAGCAGGGACCTGCCAGCATGGAGGAGTTTTACTGGTTGGGCCTCGGAGCTGGGTGCAGGAGCCAAACCTTCCCCCCCGGTCAGGGGCTGCTGCTGCCCTGGGCTTGCCCGTCCCGGCAAACACCCAGCTTGGCGCTGGCAGAAGGGACCTGATGGCTGGGGAAAGCCCAGGGGCCGGATCCAGGCCGTGGGACGCGGAGCTGGCCTTGCAGGGAGCAGCTGGGTTCAGCCCCTTGGTTATCCCAGCCCTTCACCACAGCTGGGTTTGGGGTCCCCATTGCGACCAGGGTCGGCGTACGGCATCAGAACTGAGGTTGGGGGCCCCATCGCAGCCACGGTGGAGGTCCCTGGTCCCCATCACCCCAGCAGTCCCAAGAAGGCACCAGCACCCAGGGTTCACGCCTGTCTCCGGCTGCAGGGTGACCATGGGTGACCCCCCACCAGCTGGGGCCATGCCCACCCCTGGCAGGGTGTCCCCCAGATAACCTGCACCCCCGCACCCCTGCCGGGGACATCCAAGGCCCAGTCCCCCTCAGCTGGCACCCAAAGCCCGAGCGCTCCCTTGTCAAGGCAAGAAGGGGGCAAAGCTCCCTGTTGGGGTGCTCGGGGCGTCACCTCAAGCCCCGCGGCCGTGCCCGTGTCACCGCCAGCATAACCCCCGTGGGACCGTGCTGGGGAAACACCGCCGCGAGCTCCCGGCTGCCCCGAGCCCCGGCAGAGCAGCGTCAGTCCTGGGAATAAACTTCTTTTCAAAAGCTGTTGGGCAAACATCAATGCTATTTTTTTTTCTCCTGACCTTTTTCCCTTTTTTTTTTTTCTTTTTTTTTTTTTTTTTTTTTAAAGGGGAGGGTTTGAAGAGGGGGGAAAAAAATAGGGTTTT